GTTGACAACCGTTAAAGGATTAGTTTGGAGATGAAGCTGTAACTAAAAGTGAAAAAGAAAAAATTACTAAAATGACCAAAAATATATATATTGGCCATTGGTCTACAGTAAATATTGCCTTTTGAAATACCATACCTGAAATTGGGTCATGGTTGTGGGTCTATACAACGTTAAGCCAACCTCTTCCTTTCTTATTTTTTCCCCTTTATAAGCTGTTTATTTTTAACTTCCCGTTACCCCAAGGGGTAACGCCAAAGAGACCCCAAAATTTCCTAACCCATCCTAATATCCGTCTACCAACCCTCACAGGCCAGCTTGGTAAAGAAACGGCCATGAACCCCAGTAAAATCAGAAAAGATGAAGACGCAAGGCCCTCAGTCTCCGGCAGTTCCTTGAAACTAGGCTATGTTAGCAGTCACGGGGGTAGAGGGACAGAGGGTGCTAAGAATCTCCGGATTGAACCAGGCTACCTATATAAACGACAACGGCAAAGAATATGGTTTATGACAACATATACCGCCAGAAAATTGATGGAGGAGGAAAAACTTGAGGAACTTGAAAACGAGCTGAAGCATATAAAATGGGATATACTTGGATTATCTGAAGTACGGCGAAAAGGTGAAGAACAAATGGTACTTTCGTCGGGAAATCTATTTCACTATATAGGAGAATCTTCTAATGGTGGCGTCGGATTTATGATAAATAAAAAACACACGAAGAATATACTTACAATTAAAAGCATAAGTGATAGAGTTATTTATGTTATCTACAAAGTAAACGAAAAACTTCGATTAAAGATCATCCAGGTATACGCACCTACCAGTGCCCACACAGACGAAGTAGTTGAATGGTTCTACGATGACGCTAACACTGCGCTAGAAGAGGTAACTACCAACTATACCAACTATAATTTCTTGGTATTAGGCAAGGAGATACCATCTCTCCTAAGCTATTCACCGCTTTGTTGCAGAGTGCTATGAGAAACAATAATTGGGAGAATATTGGAGTCAACATAAATGAAGAGTTTCTGAACAACTTGAGATTTGCAGACGACATAGTCCTTATTGCAGACCGGGTAGATCATGCCTGCCAGCTTATTCAAGATCTTAAGAGCTCGTGTACACGAGTTGGACTTAAAATTAATTTTTTCAAAACACAATATATGACCAACCTTATACTGGCGAAAAACATCTCAACTAACGGCACGCAAATTGAATAGGTGTATAGCTATAAATATCTACATTAAGCGCATTAAGCGCATCTGCATTAAGCGCATTCAACACAACTGGATTCAGGGCGGTCAAGATAGAATGCATTGGAATTATTTACGGAAGGCCTATGTCCAGCAGTGGACTCAAAAAAAGTGGAAGTTTTTCAATTGGTCTTGATATATCAGCTGCCTACATTATTGTGATCTGCAGTGTTTCCAGATTCTGGTCCATGTCATTGTTTGGAAAAGTATCTAGTTTTTACCAAAGTTGCGCAAACTTCCTACAGGTTTTCTTGACTTTGAACATGCACTGGCTATTTATCGTGTTAGAAATCAGTTTTCTTATTTATGACGTGGAACGTATATTCTTTAAATATCGTTTTAGCTACGAAAGTTGGTTACCATAGCGATTACTAAGTGTCGAGGTTGATTTTGGAAACAGTTAAATAAAATAGTAAACGAACAATTTTAGGTTTCCAAAACAAGTTATCCTTCTCCCCCCAATGTCGCTCTTAGCTCGAATTTTGTAGAAAACTATATGAGATATTACAAAAATACATAGAAGGTACTTTTTTTACAAATCTGATACAAAAGGAAGCAAATGTCAGTGATAAGTAATTTAGGTTTTAAAAACGAATAGGAAACATTAGACCGATATTTAAAATGCTTCAAAAACATAAAAATTAAGGAGAAAGTGGCAACAGATAGAAACAGTGGCAGACAGATAGAAACAGTGGCAGACAGAAAGTAACAGTGGCAAGTACCCATATTCTGAAGATAACGTCACATCGAATAGAGAACGCTCGTAACAGACAAATTTCATCCAGTCCTACTAAAAAACTGGGCAAACTAGCAAAAAAAACTAAAAGTTTTTATATTAATATTAATTTTCGTCGATTTTGAATGTTAGTCAATAATTAGTATATCGGAATTAAAAAAGAGTTGGTATGTACACACATAGACATTGTATAAGCAAGAAAACTAGAACAATAAACAGAAATACAAACACTAAACGAAGGCACAACAGACCAAAACTCCATCCTATTAGAACTAGGAATGTGGAAAGAAGAAAGTACAATCAAAAGAGCTAAAAAGAAAGCAAAGTGGAAAAACTTTAAAAGACTCATGAGCACTGGAATTACCATAGTTCTAGTGATATGACAACCCACGAGAAATAGAAGACAGAGTCTTAGAGTTGGAAAACATCATTAAAGAAGCACTCAGAAACAGCACTACAGAAGAGGAAGTAGAAATGGACACGGGACGATTTAAGGGTATACCACAAGAAATAAAAGACTTAATAAATAAGGTAAAAAAACAGATCAAAGCAGACAGCAAGAGGAACAAGGAACCAGGCAGACAAAAATAGAGCAAATAGGCTAAACAGAGAGGTCAAAACAGCACTACAACAACACCAAAGTAAAAGCCAGGAAAAGACATAAGAGACATGTAGGAGCAAGGACCAAATATGCAAAATATTTAGAGGCTCCAGAGAATACTGAGAAACGACAGAAAGCCAATCCCTCCATTACATGGAGAAAACGGAATAGTCTACCGGCTATCCCACAGAGGAAAAACCCGAGGTAATGAGGAGTACTCTCGAGAGAGAATGCACATTAAATTACCATCCAGACGAGGACATCGACTTCATAGAAGAAGTCGAAAGACAAAGAGAAAGACCCGAAAACCCGATCGAAAAAACACCTCGCCGAAAAAAGCACCTGGTCCCGATCAAATAACGAACAGGGCTGTAAAATACTTACCGGCGAGAACCACAATATATCTAACAAATATACTCAACGCGATACTAAGATTCAAGAAATTTCCAAATAGATGGAAAGAGGCCCATGCATAATGTTACCAAAGCCCGGAAAAACAGTAGGGCGTAGCAGGAAGAAAAAGTAAACTTAGACTGAAATCAAATATAAAGATTAATAAACAGTATCATTCGTCTTATACTAACATATGCATCTCTCGCATGGGGACACATATGCAATACTTCAAAAAGGAAAATACAAGCGGCAGATAACAACAGCCTAAGAGAAGCAGTCAACGTACCGAGATACGTAGCAGAAAGAAACACTTCAAAAAACAACAACAACGCACATTGAAGATAGTTCGTAGCTCAAAACACTCGTGGACAATCACAACGTACAGCGTGGACCCAGTTAATTTTAAGTAGATAATTTATTATATTAATATGCACTAATTCTGATTTTATGTTTCAGGCATCCTACAAAAAAAAAAAATAAAAAAAACAATAAAAAACAGCTTCGGCCACCAAAAAAATAAAAAAACTACTAACAAAAACCGGCGCAAGCCACAAAAAAATATTAACAAAAAAGATTAAAAACCCGGGAACGTAGGGCCCAACCCCTTGAGCAACAAGTCGCCGAACTGAGCCTAGCTCAGTGCGTAGACTTGAAGCCCAAGCAAGCCATTTTAGTTCGCGGATAAGCCACACTAAGATAACATGAATATAGCGACAATGCGCTGTCCTGAGTTTTGACTTCGGTGAAGAAACCATGTTGGGGTTCTATTACCCAGGACCTCCACATGAAGAGCATTTAGCTGATAGTTGTGTCCCTATCGCGCATCAGAGTGCTATAGGAGGGAAAGGGATGGCCTGGCGTATTGGAGCTCGGTAGAGTGACTCCTGTTTTTACTCGAGCTAACACACCTCGTTCCAATGAATTGTTACACCCGAACGTAATTCTTAGGGGTGACCATTTCTCACAGGCTGGGTTTAATTAAATTACTTGCTGGCTTTCTAGAGTTACTAATGCAAATATATTGCATTATTTTATGTATAAATCGTAATCGTTGTATCAACAACAATAAACGTGATAATTATAAGACCTCAGACATGGTCATGGATCTACGAAAAATGTGGACAAAAGGCAAATAAATGCACAAGTTAATAATGAGTCCAACGAAACCCATGAATAATGCTTTGTCGTAAAAGTAGTGTAAGAAAAATAATAAGATTAAAATAAACATATGATTAGGCCACTTTAAAATCTCAACAATAACTATTTGAATATAAAAAATGAACCATAAATGTATTTTGCGTTTTTTAGTATTTATCTTAAAGAGCACGCAACAAAAATTTAAATCAGTTTTAAATCATTGTCAGTTACCACTTTAATGATCTTCTCTTCTTAATAAAAAATCAGATAAAAATATAAATTTATATACATGGCAAGATAATATAAGGCAAGGTTAACAAAAGGTAAAATTCTAATGATGGCATAATTTGAATAATTCGTTATTCAATATCAATTTCAGCATTAATAATATTATAAAACAGAGTGAAAAGCATTGGGTAATGGTTGCCAACAATAATGGAGGAAGCACATATAGGTGTAAAAAAATGGCAAGATTGTATTCGGCATAAGACGTCAGTATTTAAATGGTCATCCAATTTCACCGCTGTAAACTATAGTTCCTTGTAAGTTACCTTAAGATCAGTTCTAGTTATTATATATACTACATTATCAATTACAAAAATAATTCAGTCAAGTTAATGTAAAATGGACGTTACTAAAGACACCAATATAATTCTAATTGATCTCTGTTGGGTATATCATGACATGGGAGCAATATTGCAATGCTTGAATACACATTTTTTTGAAAGGGTATATACTGGCAATGACATTAAAAAAATTGGTACAATAGGTGGTACTGTAGACAAGAGTGAACCTTCATACTATGTTTTCTCTATTTTTAAAATTTAAATAACATTTTTAGAGTTTAATAAAGTAATTTTTTTATTTATTTACTTTTTTTTATAGATTTTAATAAAACGTTGTATAACGTTGTATAACGAACTCCTCTCGCTGCGTAAATAATCTCTTCCAGCTGTTTACTTGACTGCGAACCACGAACCGCTATTTCGTGGTTCGTGGCGCTACTTCTATGACGCTCTCCTCAACATTTTACTCTACAGAAGTAATTAAACGCCAGTATTGAAGCTTGGCTTCAATAATGGGGACTCAAAAGCAGTTACATTCAGTAGGCTACTACAACAGAAAAAGGCCATCTCAAGGTCACATGGTACCACAAGATTTTTAGAAAGGAAAAGGATAATTAACTGAATAAAAACACTTCCACAAGAGTTGGGTAAGCGTGGAAGGTGATAAAGTCTCTCCGGAGGAAAGGAAAAAATCTAACTTACAGTTAATAGATCTAAAATAGTGGAAACACCATTATGAGGTCTTACTGACAGAGGATAGATGTAAATTCCAAGAGATATAAATGGAAGAAATATCCAAACATACACAAATAATTGAAATAATAACCGGAGAGTTAAGCGATGCCCTCAAAAGATCGAAAAACGGTAAAGCAACAGGACCTGGAGACATCCCAAATGAGTTGGTAAAGTATGGACCAAAAATATTACATGAGATGTTGATTCAACTGTTTGACAAATGCTTAAAAGGTTAAAATATCCCTGATAATTGGAATGTTGGATACATCAGCTCAATATTCAAGAAAGGGGATAAACGCAAATGATCTAATTATAGGGGAATAACTGTTATCAGCTCAGTGGGGAGGTTGTACGGTCGAATAATAAAAGAAAGAATAGAATCAGAATACGAAGACATAGAAGAACAAAATGGACTTCGTGCAGGAAGATCGTGCACTAATGGTATATTTGTTCTGGAGCAGGTAATCGAAAAACGAAAGGCAAGGAATCTATCTACCCACCTATTGTTTGTAGATTTAGAAAAGGCATACGATACGGTACCTTTGAAAATACTGTTTCAAACATTGACGAAAGTAGGTCTCAGTAGAGAGTATGTGGATACTATCGCAAATACATACAAAAATGCAAGGAGTGTCGTTAAAGAAGGAAACTTTATATCTGAATAATTTGCAATAACAAAGGGGCTTAAACAAGGATGTTGTCTATCTCCGACCTTATTTAAAATATATATTCAATCATCGCTAGAGCAGTGGATGGGAATAGATATAGACAGTGGTAATTGTCTAACAACTTTATTTTTCGCAAATGATCAGGTAGTCGTAGCGAATGATGAGGAAGACATGGACTACATGTTTAGAAAACTAAAGAAAGAAAAATAGGGCCTCAAGTTTTAGTTCTTTTTATATAACAAAATTCTCTTAAACTCACTTCTTTAGGTTACCTATGGGATCTTAATACATTTACATCTCACACCATTTGACATCATGTTTTCTGATATCTATTTAGAGTCCGAATATACACACATTTTTAAAACCTACTCAATGATAGCTCACTTACCCCTTCTCTACAAAGTGATCCTACTAAAAAAATGCGACTTCCTTCAGAACAGCATACAGAATGTGTAGATAAAATTTGGATTTATTATAAATTAATATCAGTGCCAGGTTTCCACATTTCTATCCTGCTTTAATAAAAACGTATTGCTACATCCATGTCAGTCCAAATATAAGAGAAATTGTGTCATACATTGTTAGTATCGTGTAACAATTGGTAAAATGAAGAATTATTGCATTGGCGAGAATATTTGAACATATTTTATAAATGCATTACTATAAATTTGGTTAGATCAAATTTTATATTGAACGAAACCATTGAATATATTCAACATGAAGGAAAAGCATGATAAAAGAAAAAAACTAACGAACAACTTAATCATCCCTTAAGTGTACTTTCGCAAGTGCATTGATAACTGATGGATTAAATCTATAGGAGTGAGTTAGTGAAGATAATTTATTTATACATAGAAGAAGGACGTAATGCCAAAAAAACTGGAACATATACACACAAGTAGAAAACAAAGTCATCATCATTAGCTAGTTTTAAGTCCACTGCAAGACATATGCCTCCAGTGTTTGTATACACGGTCTTGTGCAGTATGGATCCAATTTTTCGTCATCTTTCGCAGATCATCTTGCCATTATAGAGATGATCTTCCTCTATTTCGTTTACCTGTTCTTGGTTTCTATTCGGGTAAATTGGGTATTCATCTTCGATCATTCATCCTTGCTACGGTACCAGTTCATCCTCGTTTCAATCTGCAAGCTCTCTCCATAACATCAGCAACTCTGGTTCTGTTTCATAAATCTTCGTTTGTAATCTTGTCTTTTATAGTTACTCCTATAATTGATAGAAAAGAAAATAACGAGAGCAAATAGTATATTACACTACTCCATTACTGGATATTTAAATGAAGAAAAATTTAAAATGTTTGCAGAATGACCACATACTGTCCTTCTACCACAAAATTAAAAGTAGGAAACTTGTGATCCTTGGGTTTTAATATTTGCATGCATTTAATAAACTGATCAAGAGTATAAAGCGAGTCACAAAGTACGAGTCACGATTATTATTACATCGCACAAGAATAATTTTAAGTTGAAAATAGCATATAAATCACCATGTATCTAATAATACAATAAAACATGCCACTGCAGGATCCAAAAAAGCAAACCTTTAAATTATGAGTCAAATATAAAATGATTTAATTAGTTCTCATAATACTAACAATGTATGTATTGAATAAGTACTATTACAAGGTGTTATACAATCATGAAGCCATAAACTGTTTTTTATTCCCCATAATTTTAAAAGCAGTACATTAATAAGGTCAATCCATGTCAACAAACCAAACTTATATTGCCAAAAAGTGAATTTTCTGTGAGTGGTGTTAAAATTTGCATACACTCGTGTATATATTAGCTCACCGACAAAAGATTGAACCATCTGCTATTTTTGTTAACTATATCAATGTTTACCCAAATCTTTAACCCGATGAAGATTTTTCTCCTTTCTCTTACTATTAATAATCTTACTGATCTATTTTTCATTACAGAATTATATTCTTTCTTTAAATATGAGGTGTAACATTAATGAGTTTTTTCTGAAAATATCTTGTAGGTTATACTTATCTTAGACCTTGAATGCAACATCAATGAAAAAAATGGAATCATTCGAGCTGTGGGTGTACAGAAGAATATTGAAAGTATCGTGGACAGAACACGTCACAAACAAGGAAGTTCTGGGTAAAATGAATAAAGAAATGGAAATTTTAAATACAGTAAAAACAAGAAAATTAGAATATCTCGGACATATTACACGTGGAGAGAAATACACCCTGCTACAATTGATTATGCAGGGAAAGATACAAGGAAAGATAAGCATAGGGAGGCGTGGGGATGGCACTTGAAGAAGAAAAGAAGTAGGCAAAGTAAGCAACTCCAGCAGGTTCTTACAGACACGAATATGCCAGACTACTACTTTCCATTTCTCAGGAGGGAACCGGTGGGAGGGCAGCAGTTAAGGTCGGTACCAAGTTAGGACGCATAGGAAATTATTCTGGACCAGTGTATCTTTGGATTAAGCGGAGCTGTATCACTAAAAAGGTTGCGGTGCTAAGATGCAGAAGGAAGAGGGCCTCACTGTATCACGACGACCGAAGAACTATCATGGAAGGTTAATCTGAAGACTAGATGACTAATCGAAAGAATAACTTGCAAGCGATTCAATTAGCAATTGGCAGCAATCAGAGCCCGAGTCTTTTGGTTTGAAATGGGCTACAACAGGCCATGATGGTGTAGGTGACCAGGCACGCTATGGACAGAAGGCGTCTGAAATAAAAATTTGGAACAGTTTTAAATAGCCAAGTGGAACATTCCTAATTTACTGGTACAAGGAAAACTGAATGTGGTGGAAACTGAAATATAATCCTATGGAATCGTAAGTCTATCAGGAAACCATTGGGCAGATAAGGGCACTTTATCGAAGAGAAACAATGGAGGAATATCGACAAGATTAACTTATGATAACTCATGATAACACACTAGGTTAACTAATAGATGATAGATAGGTTAACTAATCAGAAGAAGTCATCAGAATACAACAGTTATTTGGTCACCTAACTGTTGCTATACGACTTCGATGGCGTAATTCTTCTCTCTCAATTATGGTGGTGCAGCCTACACGTGCTCACATGAATTCACAAAAAAAAGGTACATTAGGTTACACTCTACATTCCAAGAACCAAAAAACCGTGCATTTAAATTAACAGCTCAGTAAGATTATTAAAGAAACATGACAACATTGATAAAATCTACCATATTTTCTGAACCAGTCTAATTTTTTCTGTAACAGTGACAAATAACAGTGATTTTTTAGCAGTTATTTCGTCGTGTATAATTGTCACTGTCAACTGTCACAAGCTGTCGTTCCCTGTCAATTGTAGGAAATCAGAGAACAATTTTCGATAAGTCATTTTTTCTCAAGGAGTCTTCAACTAAAAATAGTGATTTTTGTAAGTTTGGCTGATTTGAGATGTCCATTAACCGATAGTTGGGTTACATAAAATGATATCATAATGATATAACATTATTAGATAATATACAAAACGCTAAATTTTACTAACATATCTTTGGAGCCGATCGATCGTTGGTTGATTTAGCTCGTTTCAGAGTGGCTCCTTTTTTTATCTGATCCATCAAAGATTCGTGACAAACTTTTGGATCGGGCTGAAAAAAAAAACAGAACAACGCATTAGTAAACAATGTTAGTTTTATTTGGTGTAGTATGTTTCTTGTGATAAAACATATGTATACCATCGTAGTTAGAATCATATAAAAAACTAAAAAAAAAAACATACAGTTAACATTCATATATTGTGTGTATAGTGAGTGGCTCATGGACAGTTAATGCTATCGATATTTTATACACCGATTGCGCAATAATTTTGCTCCTCTTCTGGCAGGATAAAATCTTACTGTGCAAAATTTTTAACTATTCTCAATAAAAATAAAGTGTAAAGTAATAAGAAATAAATTAAGTTACTATTAAACTGTGTGACATTGAAAATACTTTTAAACCAAATTCCTTACCATATGAATGGAAATTTTATTAATGAGTCAGGGTCTCTCTAAGTTAATACATCCCCCTACACAGAAATCATACGATTTCTACCTGGCGAAATCGAATTCAAATCTTTACCACTGTGCTTTCTAAAACTTGAATCTAAGATTGCATTCCACATGACGTTCATCATGGTCAAAATTCTTAGTGAATTCAATTTCTGGTACTCCAAACGGAGTAAAGAAATAAAATGTAAAGACAGTACTAGATTTTTGTTTTAATACAGAGCGCGGCAAGCCGCTTATACGTATTTCGAGTAATTATCAAGCGTTTCCTTTGCAAGTTTTAGAAAGCACAATGGTATAAATTTGAATTCGATGTCGCCAAGTAGAAATCGTATGATTTCTCTTTTTGTTATTAGATGGCGTAGTTACGTCCGCATATAGTTATTTCATAACTATTGTTGTGTAAGACGGGGATAGATTTTGTTTCGATCCAGAGAGGTGGCTTATACCGCTCTGCGGAGACCTAAAGAGGTCGAAATATGTATAAGCGGCTTGCCGCCGCTCTGCGTTAATATAAAAATCTAGTATCATATTTATATTTTATTTCTTTACTCCGTTTGGAGTACCAGAAATTGAATTCACTAAGAATTTTGACCATGATGAACGTCATGTGGAATGCAATCTTAGATTCCCTTGCCGAGTAATTTATCAAGCTGTTTGCTTTGTAAGTTTTAGAAAGCACAGTGGTAAAGATTGTAATTCGATTTTGCCAGGTAGAAATCGTATGATTTCTCTTTTTGAAACTGGTAGCTATTGTCAGTGGATAACACTAAATGGCTAATAAGACTTGGGATGATGGAGTCTCTACTCTAATGCTGTAGAATCGGCACATCAGCGATGATGATATATTATTGGGGTATTTCAGGACGAGCTCACACTATCTGTACATTCGACCGTCAATCCAATATATTATAAGGATCACTCAGACGAGTGGTGGGTTCTTGTATCGGTCTCAAGGTGGAGAAATAAAAGACAACGTTGACAGGCTACTTTATCTATTTTGAAGACGTTTCGCTTTCGTATTCTGAAAGCATCATCAGTTCATCTAAAAAGTACAATATGGGAACCACACAAATATGGAGAAGATGATATAAGTGTTACCTTAAAAAGACATGTAGCAGTCAATGATATTATCAGATTTGTGAGTAAACTCAAGTAAATGGACATTATACGGTAATATTGTATAAACAATCAATTAACTAACAACATTTAGCAACTTATTAAAAAATTAGCACAGCAACGGAACATGTGGTCTAAAGTATATGTAATATTTTATTTTAATATTAAGCAGTGAAAAAGAACTAAGAATATCATAGATTCACTTCCAACTATTTGATAATTATTTAAGCTTTGACTTTGACTTTGGTTAGCATTATTAAAGTGATTTGAATAAAAATTTAAAAAAACGTAGTGTAAATGAAGTTACCACTCAAAGCCTCACAGCTGCCGCCGGGAAAATGGCGTTAACCAATTTCTTTCATTGGTTGGTCTCTTACAAGCGGGTTGTCATCCAAACTCATTTGAACTTTTTAAATACACCGCCCCATTATTTGGGGTGGTACTTCAACCTTGCTGTTCTGTCAAATTTCTGACCTCAAGGTTGGCTGTCTTTTCACGGTTTGGCTCGGTCTATTCAAATCACTTTAATAATGCTACCTAAAGTCAAAATCAAAGCTTAAATAATTATCAAATAGTTGGAAGTGAATCTATGATATTCTTAGTTCTTTTTCACTGCTTAATATTAAAATAAAATATTACATATACTGTAGACCGCATGTTCTGTTGCTGTGCTAATTTTTTAATAAGTTGCTAAATGTTGTTAGTTAATTGATTGTTTATACAATATTACCGTATAATGTCCATTTACTTGAGTTTACTCACAAATCTGATAATATCATTGACTGCTACATGTCTTTTTAAGGTAACACTTATAATATCTTCTCCATGATTGTGTTGTTCTCATATTGTGATCCTGAAACATCAAGACGAAGCAGAACTAATCTGACTTGACAATGGCAAGTGTGACCTTGTCGAAACGTCGTCAAAACAATGGTTTTTCTAAAAACCAAAATTACTTAACGCGGAGTCAAACCCGGAAAACAACTGAAATCACATATAGCTCCCGCGGAAATTTCAAATCCAATATATATATATATATATATATATATATATATATATATATATATATATATATAGATATATATATATATATATATATATATATATATATATATATATATATATACATACATATACCAGAAGTGAGCAGCAGCTTTGTTGTTTTAAATATAATGCCCTGTATATTATTGAAATTTTACATTCTGCGTAATATTATTGATACACTTTGTATAAGATACCATAGATCAAAACTTTATATTAAAAAAACATACAAAAGTTAAAACACTTCAAAATTGTATTTTGGTATAGAAACATATAGTTAAAACTGTTGTCAAAATTTATGTCGTAGCATAACGTTTTCGATCTAATCAGATCATCCTCAGTGCCTTATGTAGTTGAAGCTAATAATAAAGTTGTGGCTGTGACATCCATATATGGGTTTACATCATTCCAAATTTAAATTATGTTGTGACTCTAGGTCGATGACATTGGATACAATTTATTACTTTGGGGACTACATGTCCCTAAATGTCGATTTTTAACACGTGGTACGTGTCAGTTAAAACGACACAGACCAACTATTGGTGATTGCCATAAACCAATTTTCATAAATATCGTGAAACACCCTGTATATCATGAGTTGTTTATTTCCGAAACTTTAGTGCCTTGAGATGTAATTTATAGCACTACTTTATCTTTATTGGAAAAAAGCTCATTACTTATCCTCTGACAACTTTCTAAAAGCTGTTTTTGTAGATCATTCTTCGGGGTCCACGATACCACGTGCAACGAAACAAACATTCACAAAAAAAATTAAAAAAGGTATAAATACTAGCTGTATTGCAAGATATTAATAATTTTGTACATAGAAAGAATTAAGAATACAACAGTGATAAGAAGGATGGAAAATTATACAGAAATTCTACAGAATTAAACAGGTTATGAAACAAGACACTGTGACAGATATGCACACTCTTGATGATGGCAAGTTTTGGATCAAAGAAAACATTGAAAGATGCTATATATACCATTTAGAAGGTAAAATTATAAAAATCCGAAAAAAAAAACACGAGAGATTTTGTATAAAATATCGTTGTATCAATGTTTACGATAAAATATGAAAAAATCGCATTTAAGCGTGATTACATGCTTTGCTTCTGTGCAGCAAAAAAATATAAACGAAGCAAGTTTCTTAAGTTGAAAATATCTTTAATAAAAAGATTATTATTAATTTAGGAAGGATTCAGTGTGAAAAAATATATGTTTTTTTTAAATGGCCTTGGCATAGCCAATTGACCAGACTGTATATAGGGGAAAGGTGGGCAAAATGGGGTACGTAAGATTTGAACTTACATATTTCATACACGGTATTACAAATTATTTGTTTCAAGCTGTAAGCGTAATCTCTATGAAATAATAAGTAAAAAAATAATATTGCGTGACATAGTAGTTTTGACGTTTCTGATGTATACTAATATTTTGACGCATGTGTCATTTGCCCCATTTTGCCCCACCTATGGGGCAGAACAGGGTACCTCCTAAAATCTAAAGTCAGAAGGTAAAAAATATCTTTATTTCTTTATTTCATAAATATTCATAAGTATTGAACAATAAAATACATATGTATCTTTAATTATTTTCGCATAGAGCGCATAAGTTTGTAGCATCATCGTCATCTTCATCAACTCCTGCACACGAATTATGTGCCCATTTGGAGCATGATCGGCAACGAATCCACCCTTCTTCAGAGAAGTCATGGCAGTATAGACACTCATCTTCTGCAGCCTCTTCTTCTCTATCAGATGAAGCAGGAGTAGGAATTAGCATTTTTTTCTGAATAGTAAATGATGTTTTTTGTTGTTTGGCTGATTTAACAGTGCCTTTTTTTTAAGCAGATTTCTTTTTACGGTTTGGTCTGCTTTTCCTTGCCGTTGATTTTCAGCATTCCGCAACTCGTCCTTATATGGCGATGATGTCAAAATCACAGTTTTTCCACGTTTTCTGGTAGTCCTTTTACTTGTCTGTGATACTTTGGGAATTGTCAAAATGATTTGGGGACTAGCACCTTTAAAACTACTACAATTCAGATCTGGTTGAGAAGTTGAGTAAATGGAAGATTGTGCCGAAGTCGATGGACTGAAAATATTTTGTACAATCATGGATGGTTGGGACGAAGTTAGATGGATGGAAGTTAGATGTTGCTGGCCTGGAGGTGACTGGGCAGAATCTTTGAAAGCTGTAGTACTCTGGACTTGCATCTCCCTTGTATCATTGAGAGAAAGTTCAATATTTGTCGTTGCAGAAGGTAAGAAATCTTCATATTTAAAAACATTCATGTCACATGGCCAGATTCCAGTTTTTCGAAAACCATTTATAGATGTGCTCATCGCTGCAGTCTGTATAAAAGCGGCCCCAAATAACGAAGCTATCTGAAACAAGGTAACGACTTTTCCAGGATTACATCTCAACCATTTACGTACTTC